CCCGCTCTTTAAATACATCCAGGGATGGTGACTCCACCACCTCCCTGGGCAGCCTGTTCCAGCTTCTGACGACCCTCTCAGTAAAGAACTTCCTCCTTATCTCTAACCTGAACCTCCCTTGGCACAGCTTGGTGCCGTTTCCCCTTGTTCTATCCCCCATCACCTGGGAGAAGAGACCAGCACCCACCTCTCTACAACCTCCCTTGAGGCAGTTGTAGGTGGTGATGAGGTCTCCCCTCAGCCTTCTCTTCTCCAGGCTAAACAAGCCCAGTTCCCTCAGCCGCTCCTCATAAGGCTTGTTCTCCAGAGCCCTCACCATCCTTGTGGCTCTTCTCTGAACACGCTCCAGAATCTCAACATCCTTCTTACAGTGAGGGGCGCAGAACTGAACACAGCACTCGAGGTGCGGCTGAAGAATCACTTAAAAAGGGCAAGTATTGTTAGAGAGTTATTATTGGGCTTGAGTTTTTGGTTCTGTTCTGTTTTAAATGCAAAAGGAATGCAACAAGCAAATAGATCACCAAGAGCTGTACTATACTAAACCTACATCTGAATAAGAAAATGGTCTCTGAACATTCCTGGTAACATCTACCAACTGCATGTATCATTAAGACTTCAGTAATATTCTCCTTTTTTTCTGATGTACAAACTTTCCATAGCAACCCTTTGCATTAAATCATCCCATAACTTCTGGGACAAACAATTTCTAGTGTGGAAGTTGTGCTCGGAATACTTCTGCCATATGAGTGCAAGAAAACTACAGACATACAGTAACCCTGAGTTAACTGTTGATTTAATTCCTTACTTAAAACTATATTTAAAAAAACCTAAAAACAATGAGATTGTTCGTTTGTTTATTAAACGGTCAGAAGAAAGACCAAAAATACTTCAGTTTAGCAAGTGCATATCTAAGTCACTAGAAAAGTCCATAGTATCCCTTTAGCAACTAAGCCTGGAGAATAACAATCTACTCCTGCTAATCAAGAATTTATTCTCTCATTTAGTCAATTAGCAGACGTCAAGCTTATTAATGCCAGAATTTCTGGGTTCTAGCCACGGGAACAACTTGTTAGCAACTAAACTTTTTTATCCTTGATACACATGTTTACCGCCATGGAAAAATACAAATGAATAGCGCTATTCTTGTTTCAGATCAGGAAGACGTTCGTCTCCACAATGTCCTTACACAACTCTAAACACAGGTCAAGCTGAACCCTTCAAAGCCTTTGTTAATCATTCTTGACTAAGCAAATTTTGTGTATTTTCTGGCCAATGTGCTGAAATAGGCTGGTTTGAAATGCATCACAATAACCCACATTCACTTGAAATGTGGAAGTCATGCTCCACAGAAAAATGTAGAGCAGCCCAAAAGCACAAAGAAAACCTTTCAGTCTTTTGCATTTCATAGCCAATTATCATTGTGCTGTGAAAGCATAATGCAAAAAAGAAATCTCCATAGCCCAAACTCAGGCCTTCAAGTGATATTCAGAAAAAAACAAAACAACGAAGAACAGATTGTCAGTTACTGTAGGGAGCAGTGTAGGATGAAAAAATATGTACATGAAAATAACAAGTATTTGTCATATATTTAGTCAAGTATCATAAAGCAGTACTATTTTCAGAACCAGAAAGTGTTCTTTTTTCAATGTTTTCTTTCTGGAATAAGCTCTATGGATTTATATTTATTCTGAACTTCAATCTGAAGAATAAGTAAGTGCACACACCTTTACAATGTACAGCAATGGCACCGTCAGCATTTTCACAGATGTTGAGGAACCTCTGAACTATACCGTCACTTGGCGCGCTTCCGTCTATGAAGAACAGGTCATAATGCTCAAAACCAGCATCAGTAAAGCGCTTTGCCTCATAAATTTTTTTGTTTAGTCTTATGACCGATGTGACATTATGTTTCTTGAAATAGGGAAAGTAGGCTTCAGGCGCATGAAGAGGATAACCTATAAAAAATAAAGCAACAATCATTTAATGTCTCAGATGAAGTTCAATGTCCTACTAATCAAAATTGACCCCAAAATCTTTTTTGAATCATAAGCACGCTAATATAAAAAAAAAATATTAAAGCACAGTATATGCGAACCACCGTACTGTCTCCTGGTTAGCCCATTCCTCTCTACAGGTTGGGTCTTATACATAAAGCTAGGCACATATACGAGTTCAGCATTTCAGAACAGCTGTTTATTTATAGTCAAGCTGCAGACTGAAGAATATTCTTTAAGAGGCAACATTATGTTTATGAGGAAAATAGATGGGTGATCTACACTATGGACAAGAGGAAGAGTCAAAGGATTAACTGTAAATACTTGAAATATTCTTCCTCCGCTGTGAAGTTAAAAATCTTTAGTGCCTCAATTCAGTTGAGAGACAAAAGGATCCTCCAGAAGATGGGGAGTATGGAGGGAGCTCGAAAACCAACCACACCACAACTGCTCAGGACACGTGCACCAAACAGATGTTCTCTGTCGATGAGGGTGTGAGGGAGTGTGTGCATGCATACAGGTCAACAGGGGATGTGTGTGTGTAAAATGTAGTTTACTCTTTTCCATTAAGAATTAAACCTTATACATTAAACACAGGAATAACACAGCTACTACAAAAATCAGAAGGTCTGTCATTGACCACATTCACTGGTTTGTCTCCAGAAGTTTTATTCAAGTCAAGTCCAAAAGCTTCCTCACAAAACATGGGTCATTTCCACAGGTCAAACATGCATTAGTAAATACAATTGGAGTCGCGACATGAGAAAAATGCAGCTTTGTAATGTGTACTTACACACAGCTGGGGGAGGCTTATTTGTAGTTTCATAAATGGATCTAATGCATTAGTGATAATTTAGTGATTTTCAAAATACACATGTTAAAAATAAACCACGGCTTTTCCAAATTCCATGGAACAATTTAAATATTTTTTGCAAAAATTCTGCAAGAAGGGACTGTAACAGCGACTGGGGAAAAAACCTAAACCAACCTAAATATTTTCTCACTGGATTCTGTTTACATCTTCAGTGGATACTATGCAGTTAGCAGCACTCCAGTCAGAAAGGAAATGTGAGGGAGCAGCAGGAGAGGGGGAAAGGCAGAAAAGATGCTCACAAAGTGACATGGCACAAAGAGTAAGGTGAAATTCAGCAAAAATCTAATTGTACTTTTTAAATTACTTAATTTTCCTTTTAGCTGGACCAAATTTCTCTTCTCTCTCTGCTGGTCCACTTTCTCTGCTTTATTCCATTAGAACTACATAGGTTCTTCCCATCATCCCAAGAATCTTCAGTAGTAAAGCGAAGCTTCTTTTTAAAGCCTTTCCCTTTGTTACAAAATTCTTAATGCAGACTCCTTTGCTTTATGCAACTCACCTTTAATTCTGCCTACTTATCATAGGAGGTGTCAGGTTCCAGGAGAAAAGGGACCTGAGTTTCTCAGGGAGTTTGTCACTGAATCAAAGTCACTGACTGTTGGAAGAATTAAGAGTCTTTCTAGCAAAAAAGAATTCCAAAACCTTTGAAATTAAGTTCTATGTTACTATATAAAATGTTCACTGTATGGTTATTTCTGAAGATGAAAATTAATCTGCACAACTCTACTATCTTCTGCTCATTTGCTGTGACTGTTTAACGTGCTGCAAAATAGAAGATCATAGAATAGCATTAAAATATGCACCATACCATTTTCAAGTTTGCTTTTTGGGTGTGGGCCACTAAATGCCAAAAATTTTCCTGGAATAATCCAGTTGAAGTCACCGTTTTCCACTCGCTATAAAAATTTCAGAAGAGAAAGAGAAAAACATTTTATATCCGTACAGACAAGGTTAAAAAGATCACTCAAGATTTTACTGTGCTTTTACGTTTTTCTTGCTGCATTAAAACACTTCAAATGTAATTAGCTAGCTTACCTATATGGGACGAGCTGACCACCCATAAGCTACTTCTCAGAAATCTCTTAATAAAATGAAATGCAAAATTTTTTGCTGAAGTTTTCCAGTAAAAGCAGAAAGATCCTGTATTAAAGATTTCCCTTAAAGGGTTCAGCGTTTTAAGACAATTTCTTATAACAAGACTGACAAACATCAACACTCTTGTATGTTTAAATCAAAGAATATGGAGGAAAACTTCCCTGTAAGGCATTGGCTAAAAAACCCACCTCACAGAAAACAAATTAAAAGCCAATTAGCCTTCAAAAACAATGACCCTTTCCCTGTAGAAACTTAAATTTACCTATTGGCATAAGCTTTGATGAGTCAATAATCATAGAAGCAAAGTATAAATCAAATAAAAAAGACTAAACTAAAAAACCCCAAACTTTCAAACTGAGGTCTTGCATTTCCTCCTCACTTTCAAAAAAAACTTTAAAAAGGCTCTGCAAATTTTGTCAGTGCCAAAACAAGAAGTTCCTTTGAAAATACGTAACAGTTCAAAAGTGCCTTTTTTTTTAACTGGAGAGCGGTCATTCCTCAGTTGGCAATGCAGTTATTCTCAGCATGACTTTTGAGGACACGGCACTCAGTCCAACCGCATTATTAAGCTCGTGTTTTTAGCTCTCAGCAAATCAAAGCATCCTAATGAGTGAAGGACTCTGATAATGGCCGTTACTTCATCAATTCACCGACTGTTTGCTTAGCTGAGCCCATTGGGCTTGCTCCAAGTGTCCTCACACAGCAAAGACTCCTGGGAGTTACCAAGGTTGCATGAGGACTGGTGAACCGAGCCAAGGACCCCTCGTTTCCCCAAATCTGACTGCAAACTCAACATTGTAGCACCCCTACCCCCTTCAAGGAAGAAGTCCCAGTCAAAAAGTTAAGCTATTTTTATATTTGTATCACCAGTTTACTTGTGAATTAAGTAGTTCTTTATAGTTACGTAGGTTATTGTAATTTAAATTTTAACTGATCTGAAGTACAGAGATATATGTGTGTGTGTACATACTCAACACTACATGCAAACATCAGTATTAAAAGAAAAGAGAACTTGAATATTTTACATCTAGTCCAACAAAAGGGGAATTAGCTGCCTTGATAGTGTAGGAAGATGAAAGAACTATAAACATTAAGTAGAATTTCCTTTAGCCTGTTCCCTTTAAGTCTTATGCAACTTTTCTCCACATAACTACACATTTGAAGACCTAACACAGAAAAAACTTGGAACATTTAAATTTTAGAAATACAGCACAGGACACATCTAAACACACAAAGCTGACCATGATGAGTAAAAGAGTAGAAGACGTATCAAAAAGTGAACAAAAAATAAAGCCTATTCCAAGTTTTTGCTTCTTAAACTCAAACAGCAGGCAGTGTACTTCAAACATTATTCACACACATACATTTCACAAACTAAAATAATGTTTGTGCATTAAACAAGATAATGGGATAGCTTAGCTAATTATTTTGACACTTTTTTTCAGGCAGATTAATGCCTACTACACATACCGATTCCTAAGAATCCCCAATCATCATTTGTTTTTTAGAATAAACATTTTCTCCTTGTGCATAGAGTACGCAAAAAATCAGCAATTTCATACTTTAAATTTTAGTTACTGCTCACATAATTTCGGTAATTCTGCAAAGGCTACACCAATTTCTCTAATCATTATGGACTTATACAATCATTATTACAGTATACACAAATCCTTCTACAAATGCTTTTAAGTTTTGTGAACAGCTGTATGTCACGGTGTGCCAACTGCAGCCAACAGCTATAGATTTGTGTTGTAAATTAAGTTCTTCCACTGTTTATTCCTCTCTTGATTTCACCTTCTTTCTTGAACATTTATGAAGCATTTCCTACAGCTTTATGTATTTCAGGTATGCACCAAGTCACTCACATCTTCTTGTGTGTAAAACAGAAGTTACTTGTCAAATGATACAGAGATTTAAGAAAAGCAATTAACCCTAAAATTTGTTTAATATTAGAAATATTCAACTGAAGAGAATCAATTTAAAAATGGACATTTTCAGTGTAAGCAAATTTATTCTCATTATTTCCAAGTTTTCTGAAAACTGCAATAGGGAAAATGGCTGAGGGAAAGAATATTGGCTACAATAAAGTAACACTCTCTGAGAGTTTAATATATACATCCAAATGTTTAGTCTACCTCTTACACATCTTTCTCTGTAATCAATGCAACCAGAGGAACTTCAGGGAGCTCCAAAGACAAGGCCCAGTACAACCACGTGGTTGTCACTGACTTCAGTAAAAACCCTTTCCCTTCCTTTGAGTGTGGGAAATGGCAGAGCAAGACCATGCAACTCCTCTGGACCAGATGTACAGATACCTCCACACAGCCCAGTTCACAGGTGCAGCACAGGCCTAGTTTAAAGGTTCTCTGCAGCCATATAGCTTGAAATAACTCTCTATTGCTAGCAGATAAAGGTGTGTATGTTACAGAACACACCTAGAAGCATCTACAGTGATCCAGAGAAGCTGGCTGGGCATGGCTTGGGCAGGCATACACTTTGCTGGGCTAAAAACTGGTTGGATGAACGAGCACAGAGAGTTGTGGTGAACTGAGCTA